ATGGTGGCCATTCGGAAGTTCTGGTGCTTCTGTAAAGACAGCAGCAACTAACCAGCCTCTTTCTCTCTTTCTTTCTTTCTTTGGTCCAAAACCTCTCACAAAACCCCCAATTCTCAAAGGCATGGCCATTTTTCTCATTGGGGTGTGTGTGTGTGTCTCGAAAACCGGCGCTCAGAAAAGCAACATTTTGGTATTTTGAACTCTTCAGCCAGTCTTTGGCCTTTCCTGGGAGTTCTTGGCTTTAAAAAGAGTACCTTTTCCAAGCTGTTACCAGAAGCTCTGCGAGCCAAAGGGAGTCCTGAGGGTTCCATTTTATTTTCCCTCACAGACCTCTGAGGGGATTAAAAGAAGGGGTTATGGCGGGCTGTGACCCGCCCTTGCCCCGCCATCCAATCTGGGGGGTTTTATTTTTTTCCCCGCTACTAATTAATGTGTTTTGTTTTTATTTTATTTTATTTATGTATTTGATTTGTACCCGCCCATCTGGTCTATAAGACCACTCTAGGCGGTTTTTAAATAACACCCTGCATTATTTTATTTCTGCTGAGCGGAGGAGGGGGAAAAAGAGGTTGCCTCAGAGGAGGATACACCCCGTTTTGCAAACATATATGGCCGAGGGGGTGGAAGGCAAATTCAGCAGAGCCCGTCCTTTTCTGTGGCCGCCGTTCCTGAAGAGAAACATTGACAGGAGGGGAGCCTGCACTAGACGGGGCCTTTTCTGCTGTGCCCCCCCCCGAAAAAAAGGGGGTTTGCAAATGGAGGCCACATTTGGGGGTCCACACCGGCTTCGTTCTGAGGCGTTCAAAACTGGCTTTCACCCATTTTGTGAGGGGGACTCTGGTTCAATTGTTTTTAAACACATGTATCTATATTGTGTTTTTAATATATGGTGTTTTAATACATTGTTTTTAAACACAGAGACACATAAATACACAAACATATATGCATACACACGCACAGACATATATAAATATATACACATATATGCATACACACATGTTTATAATTATATATCCATACACATAATTATATATACACACATAAATATGCACACACAAATATATATATGCATATACACATATATAATTATAATTTGTTTTGGTTGTCTTGTGTAATATTTTTGTTTTATTGTATTGTATTTATGTCACACTGGAAGCTGCCTAGAGCGGTCGTATAGACCAGGTGGGCAGGATATAAATCAAATCAAATCAATAAATAAATATACACACACACATATATATATACATGCACAGATACATAAATATATATGCACAAACACACATACATAAATACACACACGCAAACATATAAATAAATAAAAATCCTCAGTGGTTTCTCACTTGCACCATATCATGAGGTACTTTGGGTGCTAATGCAGGATATAATTACTGGAATATATTTGAGAAATAAAATAATAATAATAATTCAGCTGGACTTTACTGAAGCATGGCTAGAATGCATAAGCCCCCTTTTTTTGTCTCCCCCCCCCCACTTTGGGGGTAGCTTTTGCTCCAGAGAATATTAGGGTGAAAAATACAGGTAGGGAGAGAGAGGCTGGAAATTTGAACAAACCGCAGCCAACGCTGATTTTTTTTCTTTTCGTGCCAGGTTAGGCAGAATGGATGCTAGTTTGCCACCCCGAGTCCAAACTCGTGAAGCGGGTAGTCTGGGAACCAATGCGGAGCAGTTCTCACAAATGGGAAGCATCTGACTTCATTATCTAGCCATCTCTTCGAGATCCATAAAGAAGTTGTTGGCACCGTGTTACGCTTCTTGGCATGGCCATTTACTCGACCTGTTAATGCTTAACAGGAATCCTGTCTGTTAAATATTCATAGACGTTATCTATCAGCGGGTAAAGCATCACAGTTTGATTCAATTTCCCTTGTGCTACATTCATTCACGGCACAATGAGCTGTTTCAAGAGAGTGAAAAATCACATTTGTCCAAGGAAACGATGGCTGAATGACTTATTTTGAGGCCAATGCCCTGGCCATTGCTATATTCCATTGCTCTGGGGAGTTAGAAATCTGGAATTTCTTCTCTGGACTTGTTTTGTCATTTCAGAAGTGGAGATACAACGACAGGAGTCAAACCCACCCTAAGTCCCCAGCAGATTACAGTGAACTACAGGCCCCATTCTCCTTGATCACTAACACAAGTATACAATACTAGTAGGATCTGGCCACTGGATCTGGCCAATAGGTTGCAGAGTTTTGAATTTTTGTTAAATTCCTCTAGTTGGGCAGAAGTGCAGGGATTCACAGAAGAGAATAGCTTCAAGTTCCTTGGAGTCCACCCCTTTTGTCTCATCAACTGGCACTTACAGTCACAGTCACTTACTCTGAGCCAATAGTAGTAAAAAGAAAAGGTTTCCGTACTTGCAACTGAACAGATAACAGCAAGCTAAAAACATGATCGCTTTGTGAAATGGGCCTCAACAGATCAAGAGAGTGACTGTCTCCAACAGACAAAGGAAAGGGGGGAAAGGCTTTTAGCAGAGAGATGAGGTTATCTTTGAATTCAAAGGCAGAGAAAGAACGACATGATCGCTTTGTGAAATAGGCCTCAACAGACCGAGGGAGTGACTATCTCCAACAGACAAAGGAAAGGGGAGAAAGGCTTTTAGCAGAGAGATGAGGTTATCTTTGAATTCAAAGGCAGAGAAAGAACGATTGGTATATGCTGGATAGATTGACAGTCACTCTATCCAGAAAGGTCCCTCCCACCCTACTAAGTGAAGTTTGCAAATAAATAAATAAATAAATAAAAATAAAATAAGAAATGTCCAGTTTTCCATCAGCCATATAAAAGAGAGACAGCTAGCTTCACCTCCTTGACATCTCTAAAAAGAGTATGTTTGAAAGAAGTCGTGGATGGGGCAGAAAGAATGGTTAATAAATAAATAAATAAATAAATAAATAAAACCTCCAAGCCAATATCCTCTTCCACAGAGTAAATGTCAAAAGCAGAAGAACTTAATATTTTCTTCGGATTTCTCTCCCCTGCCCCGTCTAAAGACCCCACCTCTTCCAGCGACCTCCTTCACTCGTCGGATCTGGACACTGCAACCCATCAAAAATAAAATCTCACATCTCTGCTAAACATCCGCCAGATCTTTCGATCTACGAGAGCGCCACCGTGGGCAGGTGGAAACTCCATTTCCCTGTTTTGTGTCGTCCGAAGGGCAACCCAGAAATCCAATATTTCCGTGCTCGTTGTGTGACGTCCCCATAGGAAGTTTCCTCCGGGGCCTTCTGCTCGCCCTGACCTGAGAGGCTCCTTTCTCCCGGGGTCAGTGAGAATCTATTCCCTTTGTGTCTAGGTCATGGTTAAGGGCTTGGAAAATCAGAAGCTTTTAAGTGTATTTGCTTGTTCAGCCGCTTCATTCAGCCTCGTCAGATTTCCTACTAGAGATTTCTGACTTGGCCTCTGCTGACTCCAGCTTTTCAATTTGGCTTTCCCTATCCCTCCCCCCCTTTTTTTCTTTTAAAGTTGTCAGGTTGCTCAGACATACCTTAACAGCAGAAGGCAGATACCATCTCTATAAAAGGGATGTCTCTAGGGTTTCTGTTGTTGTTATGTGTTGTCAGGTCATCTCCAACTCATGGAACGAACTCTCTCCAAAACATCCTGTCCTCAACGGCGCTGCTCAGCTCTTGCAAACTCAAGCCTGTGGCTTCCTTGAGGGAGTCGGTCCATCTTGCCTTTCGTCTTCCTCATTTCCTTCTGCCTTCCTTCTTTCTCAGCAAGGGTGGTCTTTTCCCCAGAGAATCCTGCCTTCTTGGCATGGGCCCAAAGGAGGACAACCTGAGGGTCAGCATTTTTTGCCTCCAGAAATCATTCAGGCTTGATTTGACGTAGGACCCACTTGTTCGTCTTTCTTCCAGTCCAGGGTTATCCATAAAGCTCTCCTCCAGCGCTGTATTTCAAACAAACCGATTTATTTTCTCTCTCTTCTTAATTGCCCCACATTCACAATCATATATGGGGAGTTTTGTAAAGGGGCCAAAAATGGGATATAAGTCATTTAGCAAAGGGTGGGGGTTAGGGTTTGTCTTATTTATCGGCTGCCTTTGTCCTGATAAGGAGACTCTCAGTATTCAAATGAACCCTAGGAAAAAATTGTAGCTCTGTTCCTCCCTGCTCTGCTCTCCCAGTAATCCTGTAATATATAGGATCATGCTGAAAATGACATTTTTCTCTCCGTGTTTCTCTTGCACAGACGAGCACCCCATCACCTACCTCCTCCTCTTCATCGTCATTCACTCGCACTCCAACTTCAGCGGCTAAAACAACTCAACTAAAGAAGGAAGGGAACTCAGAGGATGGGCCAGCCGGAACAATTCCAGATGTTAGCCGCCCGCCTTCTCCTGGCTTCAAGGACTTAGATTTGCTCCAGGCTGAGTGTGATGAGCTTCGGAATCGGTTGCGCTGTCTGAGGGTAAGAACGACATTCCTACCTTTCTCAGAGCCCTTGGATGCAAGGCGAACAGAAATTGGCGGCACACCAGTCAACTCGAAGTGCGGACATTCGTTCTGATGGTCTTCATTAGCTATGTCTCCCAAGGACCACTAGGTTGATTCGTATCAGTCAATGAGGCTTCCTCTCCACCAGGGTTGGGTCTTTTGTAAAGCCAATGGCTCTTGGCACACTTATGACCAAGTCATCTAAAAATGCTTCCCTTACAACAGGGGATGTGCTGCCTATGTATCATAGCTTGGGAAATCTTCCCTCTGCCCAGATAATTGAAGGATTGCAGCTAAGCTCAGAGGGAATGGGGCAGCCAAGAGTTGACGTGGAGGATGATGAGTCACATCATCCTCCTGCTAACTAAAACTTTGACCCTGTGAGCCCCAGCTTTACTCTTTGCTATATCACTAGATAAATATGGGAGCAGCTGCTTGGTCATCAAGAGCAGATAATCTTGGCTCAATCAGAAGATACTATCCTTTAGAGAGGGTTGGATTACATTTCCCATCTGTCCTAGCCAGGAGAATGGGTGGTGAAGGGTGATGGGGGTTGTGGTTGAACAGCAGCTGGAGGGACATATAGTGCCCACCTATAGCATAAAAAAGGCATGTGTAAACCAGCCACACCGGGGGGTGGGGGAAGTAACCTGAGATTCTGTCGTTGCACACCAAAGACTATAGTCACCCAGAAGAAAGTGTCTAATGTTCTTTTAAAAATATCACAGTATCCAGTATCCTCTTGAGTATTTGCTGGGTGGAAAGCCCCACCAGAAAGCACATAATAGGAAGGGCTCACAAATGTTGCACAAGTAAAGAATGAGTTTTCCTTTTTTTTTTCCATCCTGGAGATGGCTGATGACCTGACCAGCTTGGAAATCAGTGGCAGCTGATGTCCATTGGGAAGGATGGGCCAGAGGGCCATAGCCAGCTGCACCTGGTTTGCTACCTAGCCCATACCTTTGTGCAGTCTAGATTCACCAAGTACCTCCACAAACACACACACACACATGCCATTCCTGGTTTGGAGGAGTATGGGGTCTAAAATGGACACTGTTCTACTCCCCCCAGACAGTAGGACCTGCTAGAAATCTATCGGGCAAACAAAAGCAAATGAGAGTGATTCGCTGAAGGGGAAACCTTCACCGTTACAGGAAAGCCTGATGGGTCGAAAGCCGAGGGACGTGGAATCGTGGATGAAGCAGTCACAGAAAGAACTCCTCTGGCTACAGAGGCAGGTGTCTTCCCTCTCCACCGAGGCACCTGTTTTGCCCGTGACCAAGGTAAGTGCTCAGTGGCCAAGGGGTCAGACAACTGGGGAACTGGGGTTCCCAGGGTGGAGTAGTGGACAGAGTGATGGATTAGGACTCTGGAGAACAGGGTTTGACTCCCCGCTCAGCCATGGAAACTCATTGAGGGAATGGAACATCTAAAGCCACTCCTTAAATATCTCGCTCACTTTGAGAGCCCTCCTGGGATTGCTATAAATCGGTTCTGACTTGACTGCACAGAAAACACACACACAGAGAGAGGAGCTAAATGGGGAACAGCTGGCTGGCGACTTGACTGCACAGAAAACACACACACACACACAGAGGAGCTAAATGGGGAACAGCTGGCTGGATAGTTTGGTGCTTTAGGTCTCTGGCTTCAGAGGTTGTGAGTTCGAATCCCCAACTGTGCCTCCGGGGAGAAGAGGCAGCCTGGGTAGCCTTGGAAAACTTGCAAAAGTCCCAGCGTGCTGCCAGAAGAAGGGAATGGGCAACCCCTTCTGACTATTCTCTTCCCTAGAAAACCATGGAAAGGGACCATAAATCAGAATTGACTTGGTGTCATGTGGTTATTATTTATTATAAGAGAAACTTAGGCAACCACCTGGCAGATCTCCTTTGATTTGTATTCCTGCATCGAGCAGGGGGTTGGACTGGATGGCCTCAGAGGCCCCCTTCTAACTTCACTGTTCTATGATTCTATAGGGGGAATGAATGGGCTTGGAGTCAGGAGCGTCCATTTCGTAGGTCCCAGAGTGGCCGGTAAGGAGCATTCCATGCCCTAAGACCAGGGGGCGGGGCTTGGTGATGTCACAGAGGCAAGGCAGGCAAAGGCTGGGAGGAAAATAAGTACAAAATCCATACAAGTCCCCCTTCACTGCGTCGGTGCACTGGGGGGCCGGCTAGGAGTGGATGGCGGTGAGTGCCCAGATTTCCAGCTGCCCCTCTCATACAAAAAAAAATCACACTCTCCTCTGTTGACATTTGTTTCACCCCCAGCAGGTAGACAGATGTACAAAATATATGCATCTATGTGCACGTATACTTGCATATGGAGGCATAAACACAATACACCCCCGTTTAAAAGCTGCTTTTCTTAAACAAGCGAAAGAGACACATATTAGTCATTGCATCAAAGCACTGAGGGTGCAAGCCTGGAATATATTTTCCCCCCCCCCAAAAGTCTAACACAGATAGATCATAGTTTTCTTTGGCCTTTTGCATGCATGACCCCAGCCCGCCTGCCCTTCCCCCCCATGTTGGACTACAAATCCCCCCTCTCCCTCCCAATGGGAGTTGTAGTCTTGTGCCACAGCAGCAGTCTTGTTGAGACCAGGAGGTCTCCGAGAAAGGCGGCTGCATTCCTGCCGGCTGCCTTTTAACAGGAGAAAGCCAAAGATGGATAAGGGGTCGGTTCCTTCATTTGTATTTTAGATCAGGGTTCTCCCTCCAGTTGCTAGGCAGCTCCCTGCTTGAGCAAGAAGGGCTGATACAGGCTGAAGTTGTGCTCGCGTGTGTCTACGTGTGAAGGGTCTCCAAACACCTAAAAAAGCAGGATTTAAAAAAAAACTGGATACCTTGCAAGGGCCCCGCTCCTCAGCCTTGAAGATCTCCCACCTACCCTGGCCAAGAGAAGGCCTGGTGGCCAAAGGGACCTCCATCCACAGGGCCTCTAAGAACAAATATATATATTTTTTAACAGAGGAGAAATTCTCCGCGTTACGCAGCCAGTCTTGGTTTCACGCCGGTCCTCCTCGGATTCTCTCCCTGTCCCGAGATGGTTTGAACCGGGAGGTGACAAGAAACGTGAGCGAGGCATACATCCTGTGTATATATATATAGATATTCCCAGGGAAGGGGAGCGCAGGACGGAGAAAGGCATATATAT